GGCCCCTAAAATTAAGTATAAAAATCCATGTGGAAGTTCATAATCAAGTTCACCCCACACACACACTGGATTCCTGGGAAGGCGAATTCCAAGACTGGAGTGAGTTCAAGTCCCTTGTCCCTCCCATTCTCCTTGCCTTACCTTTCCGTACTTTGGCGACTTCATTCCTGATCCAAATTTATACCCAAGAAATCAATATGGTTAACAGAGATAAAACACCAGTCAACACTTTACTCCATTAATGGCTCTGGCTATTAATGAGCATTTAACATTTACATAATCAGGTGGCCCTGAAGTCTAGTAACAGAGACAGGCATAGTAAACAGTTTACCGATGTTACCTGTCAGTACAGTTAACGGTGCTGGACTCGATGGTCACCCAACATATTTTATTGATATATACTATCCCATTCTACCATTCCCAGTTATGCAAAATGTAATTCACCATTAAAAAAATACAGTCAAATGAGACAGCTCACTTCCACTGTCGGTAACCAGGACAAACGTATTGAGCCCCCAGATAGTGTAGCGAAGGCCAGGTGAGATATCAAGTAATTTAAATAATCCCCAAACTGGAAGAACTGAATGGAGGAAGCAGGAACTGATTTCAGATCAGAGTTAACAGTGCCACTTAAAAACCCAACGGCAGGGGCTCATCAGCCCTCCTGGGCCTGAGTTAGGAAAGAGGGACTGTCTCCGTAAAAGGAAGGGCTTCTGGGTCTAAGAGAACATTGCTGGGTCACATGCTGGGGCCACACGTGTGTTGAGGAAGCCATGAAGTGCCCGCAGTGCAGCACAGGACACACACACACACGTGAGTGCAAACACAGGCACCCCGCAGCCCACAGTCCCTAGTCATGGCCAAGCCCCTGTACCCACAGTGCTACTGACTTCCAGGGAAAGCCGGGCTGGGAGGCAGCTGGGCCAGTTGTATTTTTTTTTTTCCTTCCCATGACTCCAGGTTATCAAGTGAACGAGGCAACATTAACAATCAGCTTTTGGTTTTGATTCGCACATTCACTAAGCCACTGCACAACTCAGTCAGCTGATTCCCTGCTAGCTGGACCTCGAGAAGGGATCACAAATGAGGCTGTTCAAACAGTTAAGCATCCAGTATCATAATTCTGTCAAAGAGAAGACGGGATTTGAGAAATATGAATTTGCAGGATGCAGGCCCACAAGCCCTTCCACTCACAGAGACGGTCCCTCTTTCCTAACTCAGGCCCAGGAGGGCTGATGAGCGCCTGTCATTTGGTTTTTAAGTGGCACTGTTAACTCTGATCTGAAATCACTTCCTGCTTCCTCCATTCAGTTCTTCCAGTTTGGGGATTATTTAAATTACTTGATATCGTACCTGACCTTTGCTACTATTTGAGGACTCCATATATTTGACACACATTTCAGACTCACTGCACACACACTGAGGTTTTTTTCCTAAGTAGTCACACATCTTAAATAGGAGCATTTTATTTTTGTACACCTACAAGTGAGAGTCCCCAGGGATTTCTGCTTCTTAAAATACTTTCTGGCTTTCAAGGGGGCATCCCTGCAAAGCACTTCTAAGAAAAAGAAAGACAGCAGGAAAGGGTCTGACCTTATTTTACATCCGAAGAAAACACAAGCAGGAAGTCTCTGCAGGTCCTTCAGGAAAGCTGAGATGGGAGGAGGAGCCACAAAGGCCATGGAGTGTGTCACACCTCCAAACAGCAGACTAACTCCATGTAAAATAGCACCTTGTGTGCTGGAGGAGGCTCACAACACAGAGCCCTTGGGAAAAAACCAAGACCACCCACGTCAAAAACGCACAAATACTATCTGTTTCTTCAGTGGAGGTACTTTTACCTGATAAGGTCTAAAACTAGGAAAAAACACTGACAAAGATACAAACAGATAAAAGGCAATGTCTGTTTTCCTTAACTGAAAGAAAAACGTCATCAGACATTAACTGAATACTAATAGGATACTAGGAGCTCCGGCAGCATAGTGGCTAAAGCACTTGACTGCTAACCAGAAGGCTGGCGGTTCAAACCCACCAGCCACTCCTTGGAAGGAAGGTTGGGCGATCCTACTTCCGTAGTGATACTGCCTCGGAAACCCAAGGAGGGGTCGCTATGAGTCGGGGCCGACTCGACGGCACATAACAACAACAACAATAGGATACTAAAAGTGTCGATGGCTATACAAAGAAAACAGAGTTAATCCAGTTCTGTGCATTGAAACCATCTTGACATGGGCATTTCTGAAGGAAGAAAACCAGCAAACCTTGCAGATCCAAGTCCTAGATCTCAAGGACACAGACCAGCTTCTTGTTCCCAAAAGGTATCATCACTGCTCCGTGTGTAGCGTGGAAGCAACGGCTGGAGGACATGCTCCCTGAAGTAGCACAGGAGGTGAGCAGGAACAGAAAACGTCCTGCAGGAGCAACGTGTTTATTCAGTGGAACGTGTTAGAGGAAGTTCCTTCAGTTTTAAGTGTACCTTGAAGTGAGGTCGGGAGCTCTGGTGGTACAGCGCCTAAAGGCATTTGACTGCTAACCAGAAGGCCAGTGGTTCAAACCCACCAGCCACTCCTCAGAAGGAAGACTGGGCAATCTACTTCCGTAGTGATACTGCCTCAGAAACCCAAGGAGGGGTCGCTATGAGTCAAACCGAGTCAACGGCAGTGAGTTTGGTTTTGGTTTCAGTTTGAAATGAGCTCAAAGGTAAGTCATGCCACCTTAAGGAGTGGATGACCCAAGAGCCAGGTGAGCTCTGGCACTGACCCCAGGGATTAGAAAGCAGCACCCGCCTCCCTCCTCCTCCGTCCTAGAACACCACTTCACCTCCGGGACTCCGTTCTACTCTCGGTACGACGGCCACTCTGCTGAGGTCACCGACCAGCTCAAGACCAGGGATGGAAATGGGACTAAGGTTTGGGGCAAGTGAAGCTGCATATTCCACAAAAGAAAGACACTATTTTTAAAGTTCGTCAAGCATTTGTATTTCCTGAAGTTCTGCTTCCTTGAAACTTTGCTCCTCTCATGCTCTGAGCCCACTAGGCCTGAGCCACAGTCCGAGAGCAGGCCTGAGGAGGCCAGGCACAGAACACAACATGAAATAAACGCACCCACCGGGCTTCTGTCACGGGGTGGGTGAGCCCCCAACACTGTACACATTTCAACAATATCATACATGCAAACAGGGAACACTGTGAAATGTGAACAGTTAAGTCACTCTGACATCCAGTTCAGCTTCCCTAAGAGGAGAAACTTCCAACACGCAGAACGCATGCCCGTGAGCACTGTGAAAGCCCAGCGGTGTCTCTGAGCTGGGGGTCAGGCCTGAAGCTCCTCAGGGGGCATGGCCACAAGGCTCTGACAGCTTCAACATCGCCCGCTGTGCTCTAGAAACACTTCCCACCGAACAATTAAACACTAAAATGAAGCACCGAAGTCCACGCACATTCATTATGACCACTTTAATTTGGCTTTAGGTACCTCTGTACTCAAGGCACCCCTGGATCTCACAGTGAGAAAGTCAAACCCCTCCAGCGCCCTCCCACTCATCACAGAGCAGAGTTTGATCCAAACCCTCTAGTCCGTGAACATCCAGCAAAATGTGGTGACCAGACACTGATGAGGGAACGGGAAAAATGGAAGTAACAGTCTGCATAGTTTTGTGCATCCTGAGTTTTCTTAACTAAGAATTTCATTTTTAAGTAAAACTTGTATTTTCAAAAACATTACCCCCCTCCCCTACCAAAAACAACAGATTAGATAGCTTATAAACTATATTAACTTGGACCAAATAAAGATTTTAATTGTTATAAAGCTCAGGACGTCAGGGAAACAGCACCTCCAACAACACGGAGCCAACTCAGGTGTCAGTAACACTGTCCTGGGGGTGGCGTGTCTGGCTCCAGGTGGACATTTCAGGCTCCACCCCAATGCCCCGGGCAGTCACCACCCCAGCTGCGACCATGGAGGCAAGCGTTCCCGGCCAGGGATGCAGCGTCCACCAGGCTTCCCAGAGCAGACTGGGGCCACCTGTGCAGTGCATGTGGTACGTGCTTCTGCTTAAACTCACAGGGAACATCTCAGACAACTGAGATGTGCTGCTCCTCAGCCATGCGACCAGGCGAGTTACAAGATTCAGCAGAAGCACTGTCAGAAACACGGCATGGAAAGGACATGGCAAGACCTGGCTCCGAGTTCACGCCGAGGCTCAACTCGGGGGCTGACTGACCTTCAGCTTCGCCTTCCCCTCTAAAACCCAAGTGGCTCAGAACTCCCCTCAAATGATACAATCGTGAATCTGTGGGCATTCTGAACAGCTAAGAACCCTGACACCAAGCACCAAACCCCAGGGGGTCAAGGGACGTCAGGCACACTCACATAGAACCAGACGGCCTGCTTTCCACCATCACACCCTCCTGTGGCTCCTTCTCCAGCCTTCCTGAACACTTTCAAATTTCCCACTTGTAGACCTGATTCTTAACCTCCTATGAGATGCTCTGCTTAACGAGTACCAAACCAATCCCTCCGCAGGAGGCAGGAGACAAGATACCAGAGGAAGGCGATGATTGTACCGTTAGTACATCTGATTCCGGAACTACATTGCATAAGCAGATTGCATAGGAAGAGGGCTATAGAGAGCCAGTACCACCTTGAAAAAAATTACTGTCTTAAAAAAAAAATGAAAGCCAGTTTACCATTCAAGGGAGTTTGATTTGACACAGAAAGACATTTTCCTCTCCAGAGCGAGTCTCCAGTATCTGCCGTGTGGAGAAGATGGAGGCTGCCCTCCCACAGGGGTGCACGGACAGCTCCCCAGACAAGCGCAGCACAGATGAGGAAGACCCGGTGAAGGCTCCGATTAAAAGACAGTCCAACCTGGCTCAAAATGGCCCAAGAGGTCCCAGAGATCATTCTAAAAAGAGGCAGGAGAGTTCTCATAGATCATTCTAGAGACCCTGAAGCTGGGAGTCCAAGCCAAGGAAGTGCCTATGTGCCTTGCCCTGTCCTCAGAGACTTGTCTCCTCACACACTCTCACAGGGACGTTATAGTGCCGATCGTCCTCAGCAATCAGGGTTACCACCGGCCAGTCCTCTGGGGGGTCGGTGGGGTAGACCGTGATGAACTCCTCAGTGTTGTACTTGGACAGTCGGTACACCTGGATGGTGTGACGTACAGCATAGGCAAGAAGGAACATCTCAACCTGTGGGGAGACAGCAGACACGTATTTGGACAGGACCCAAACCAAGCAGGTGCTGTGGAGTGAATTCTGGCCCACAGGGACCCCACGTGTCAGAGGAAAACTAGGCTCCACAGGCTGGTTCTTCAGAAGCAGATCCACAGGCCTTTCCTCAGAGGCACTTCTGGGTGTACCCGGGCTGCCGATCTTTCCTTCAGCAGCCAAGAGCATAACCATTCAGAACACCAAGGGACAACCTGTTCTGAGGGCAGCCACACTGAAACTATGTCCCTTACCTCTGGGCTCCATCTCAGCTCCCAGATACAGCCTAACAGCTGACAGCCCACAAATATTCCCCTTCCCTCTGCACCCACCCTGAATCCTTTTGTACGTGATTATAAAAAAGGCAGATCTTCAAGAATGGGTTTGTTTTGGTCCTCTAGTGCCACTCTAACAGAAAATACCACAAATGTATGGCTTTAACAAACAGGAGTTTATTCTCTTACAGTCGAGGAGACTAGAAGTCCGAGTTCAAATGCAAGCTCAAGGGGCTGGGTGAGAGCCCTCGACCTTGAGCTTCAGCTCTGCCTCTTGCTCCTGGATCGCTGGAGCTGGAGACGTGTCTTAACTCAGGTAGCTGCTGGCTGCTGAGGCTGACAAACCCAGTATCGAGAAGTAAAATGGCACAGTCCCCACATTATTAAGCAACACAGAAGGCTACTAGTTCCAGTCCAGAAACAGTCCCAAGACTGGCAGGCAACATGGCAGGCTGCTAAATGAAGACTCGGCCAAATGCAGGATGCAGACATGCCAAGAAGCTAGAGACCTTTCTCAAAGTTTCTCCTTCTATATGGGAAGCAGCCCACATCCCTAAGTCAGCTACTCAGCTGCTCCAGTAGATTCCACCATGAAGGGGATGACCAGTCTCCTCATCGGGAATAACCACATCCAGCTGCCCAGCTACTCAAAAACCAGGCCCAGCCAAGTTGACACACAACCTTAACTACCATAGAGTTATATCTCTGATAAGAAATTACATTCTATCCAGAATATAGAAAGCACTCTTACAACTCAACAACAGACAACCAATTTAAAAAATAAGAAAAGGATTTGAGTAGATATTTCTCCAAAGAGACAGACAAATTTCACTAAGGACATGAAAAGATGCCCAACATCATTTGTCATCGTCATGTGCCATTGATTCCAATGCACAGTGACTCTGTGGAACAGAGCAGAACCGCCCCATATGTTTTCCAAAGCCATCACCTTGATGAAGCAGACTGCCTTACCAGTCTCCTACAGAGTGACTAGTGGGTTTGAACTGCTGACCTCTGGGTTGGCAGCTGAGTGATTAACTACTGTGCCACCAGGGCTCCTTCATTCATCATTAAAACCAAAAACCATACTCACCACCAAAGAGCCAATTCCAACTCACAGTGACCCCCTTTAGATTTCCGAAGTGGTAAATCTTTACGGAAGTAGATTGCCCAGTCTTCCTTCCACAGAGTGGCTGGTGGATTTGAACTGCCAGCCTTCTGGTTAGCAGTCAAATGCCTTAGGCACCATGCCATCAGAGCTCAGATCAAGGAAAACACTGACAAAATGGAGGAAAGCACAGAAAAAAACTCTAGAACAATTTTGAAAGACAATACAAGAACAAAATGACAAAACAAATGAAAAATTAGAGATGATACAAAATCTACACACAGAAATCCAGAAGATTAACACTAAATTTTCAGAAATAGATAACACATTGAATCGGAAAAGGAGTAGAAGTAAATCAATGGAGGCAGAATTAGTGAGATTGAAGACAAAAACCTCAATACTTCTTTGGAAAGGAAACAATCAGAAAAAAGAACAAAACAAAATGAAGAAAGCCTAAGGATCATGTGGGATACCATCAAAAGGAATAAACTACATGTAACTGGAATTCTAAAACAGGAAGAGACAAATAAAACCACAGAGAAAATTGTCAAAGATTTGTTGGAAGGGAATTTCCCTGATATGAAGAAAGATGACAATATATCCATTCAAGAAGTCCAATGAACCCCAAACAGGATAGACCCCAAAGAAAATCACCAAGACATATCATCATCAAACTCACCAAAACCAAAGACAAAGAAAGAATCCAGAAAGCAGCACGGGAAAAACGAAAAGTTACCTATAAGGGGCAACCAATAAGACTAAACTTGGATTTCTCAGCAGAAACCATGCAGGCAAGACAATGGAATGGTACATATAAAACCCTGAAAGAAAAAAAATTCCAACCAAGAATTATATATCCAGCAAAACTGCTCCTCAAATATGATGGTGAAATTAGGACATTTCCAGATAAGCGGAAATCGAGAGAATTTGTTAAAACCAGACCAACCTTACAAGAGATGCTAAAGGGAGTCCTTTGTACAGAGAACCAACAATAGCAAACAATAACAGAGAACCAACAATAGCAAACAATAACTGACCATTAATACACATGATGACATAACCCAGAAACCAATCCAGTTATGGAAGTATCCAAAGTAAATAAACATACAAGAGATTGTAAATGGGGAACCAGATATATTAATTGACAAATGAGGACAACTACAAACCAAAAAAGGAAAAAAACAGAACTTCTAAATGGCAGGGAAGTCAAGACAACTGCAAGATAGAACACACTGTTCTAAACCTGCAAAGAACATTTTAAGTCACAAGGTAACCTCCAAAAAAAAAAGATAAACCTTCACATCAAAATAAAAGAGGACCAGCACAAATATTTAGCAAATACTAAAACACATAACAACAACAACAAAACAGTAGCAACGAAGGAAGTGATAACATGATTTACAAACAAAACGAGCTCAGCACAGAAAACTATATGGAACAAAGAAATCAGCAATACCATGAAAAAGCACCTAACAAAATGACAGCAACAAATTCATACTTGTCGATAATTACACTGCCAAAAGAGTTAAATGAGAACCTACACAATGAGAAAAAATATTCCACAACAACTTATCTGACAAGGGACTTATCTCTAAAATTTATAGAAAACTCCAACACCTCAACAACAAAAAGATTAACAATCCAATTAAAAATTGGGCAGAAGGCATGAATAGACACTTCACCAAAGAGGATATTCAGGCCACCAGCAAATACATGAAGACGCTCATGATCATTAGCCATTAGAGAGATGCAAATCAAAACAACTGAGACATTATCACACTGCTGCACTAATTGCAAAGCTCAACAAGATGGAAAATAACAAATCCTGGCGAGGATGTGGGGAGATTGGGACTCTCGTATAATGCTGGTGGGACTGTAAAATGATACAACCACTGTGGAAAGCAGTATGGCAATTCCTTCAAAAGTTGGAATTAGAAATACCATTTGACGCAGCCATTCCATTACTAGGCATATACCCTAAAGAAGCGAGAGCCATGACAAGAACAGATATATTCACACCCACGTTCATCGCAGCACTATTTACAATAGCCAAAAGATGGAAACAACCTAGGTGTCCATCAGCTGAGGAATGGATAACCAAACTATGGTACATACACACAATGGAATACTATGCAACACTAAAGAATAATGTTGTTGTTTTGTTGTTAAGTGCCGTCGAGTCGTTTCTGACTCATGACACAGAATAATGTAGAATCTGCAAAACACCACATAACATGGATGAACGTGGAGGACATTATGCTGAGTGAAATAAGTCAATCACAGAAGGACAAATAAGTGTTAGTTCATTATTGTAAAAAGTCAAGGAAAGTTTTACAGATGGAAGGAAACTTTCTTTGTTGGTTATCAGGAGCGGGAGGGAAGGGAATATTGTGAAAAAAAATGCATTGATCCATGTGCCTTAGTTTTGTGTATTTCACTGTACATAAATTATATTTCAATAAAATGTATTTAAAAAAAAGAGATAACAATGGAGAGTAAATGCTTACTGGGCAGTGGCTTTTATTTTTAGGGGATAGAAATGTTTTGGAACTTGATAGAAGTGATGGTGACACAACACTGTGTCAATATCAAAAGCCAATGGATTGTATACTTTGAAAAAGTTAGTATTACGTTATGGTGAATTTCAACTTAAATAACAAAAAAAAAAAAGAGCCTCTGAAATATTACGGCAAGTAAACAAAGTCAGTCGCAAACGACCACGTACTACACGATTCCACGCCTACAAAACATCCCAAGTGGCAATCCAGAGGGACACAGTGGCTGCTGGAAGCCAAGAAAAAGCAGCGAGTGAAGTGTGGCCAATAGCAGGTATGAGGTTTCTGTCTGGGGTGATAAAACAGTCTGAAATTAGACTGTAGCAATGGTTGGACAATTCTCTGAATACAATGAAAACTACTGACCTGCACACTTAAAACAAATGCAGGTTAGGTAGGTATCTCAATAAAGGGGTTTAGACAAAAGAAGAAGGAGGACTCCACATTACAGCAGACTTTGTGAAGTCTCAGTCTCACATGCAAACCATGATCCCCAAGGCTTTGAGTGTGTGATATCAGCTACGGTTCAGGCTGCTGTTGTTAGGTGCCATAGAGTTGTCTCCAACTCATCGTGACCCTATGTACAGCAGAATGAAACACTGCCCAGTTTTGTGCCAGCCTCATGATCCTTGCTATACCTGTGCCCATCGTTGCAGCCACCGTGTCTATCCATCTTGATGAGGGCCTTCCCCTTCTACATCCACCCTCCACTTTACCAAGCATGATATCCTTCCCCGGGGAATGGTTCCTTCTGACAACATGATCAAAGTAGGTGAGACGCAGTCTAGCCATTCTCACTTCCAAGAAGCATTCCAGCTACACTTCCTCCAGGAAAGGTCTGTTAGTGTTTTTAGCAGTCCACAGTACTCTTAGCATTCTTCTCCAACACCACAACTCAAAAGCATCAATTCTTCTTCAGTCTTCCTTATTCATTGTCCATCTCTCATATGCATAAGAGATGACTGAAAATACCATGACTTGGGTTAGGCGCATCTTAGTCTTCATGGAGATATCTTTGCTCCTCATCACTTGGAAGAGGTCTTT